CATTTTTCGTTTCTGGTGGACACTGGAAAATTGTAGGGGGTAATTTTTCATTATGTGACTATTCCATGCATTGCTGACAGGTAACACTTCTGACTCAAGGCCAGTAAATGTCCCCCTTGAATGACTGACGTTATGACCTAAACCTCCTCATTCCTAGAACTCCCCCTAGGGGGCGGTACTGCTCTAGATGAAAACCACTGTTCCAAATCTCTCAGAAAATGGCAGTTTGATAGGTGGTGGGTGTTTCACAAATGTCCAAACCAGAATCCCAGACTCCTCCTTTTGCCTCATAATCAAACAGTCTTGATATAGAAGGAAAAAAAAAAAACATTCTAACTCTACAATAAAAGGTTGAATTCAAACTGCTTTGGATGAAACTGTGAATCCTGGAAAAGGACCAAGGAATTCCATAGCAGATCACTAAACACATGAAAAATATTTAATACAGGCTTTACTTGGATGAAACGGGGGCCTTGGTGGCACAGTGGGTTAAATGTTTGGCTACTATCTGAAAGGTTTAAACCCACAGTCGCTCTGGGGGAGAAAAATGAGGCCGCTTCGGTAAAGATTTACAGCCTCAGAAATTCTTTGGAGCAGTTCTATTCTGTCTTATAAGGTTGGGATCAACTCAATGGCAGCGGATTGACTTGGATGACAGAGGATACTTGTCATCTCTTTCTGAATCAAGGGGAGAATTGATTGGGGAGAGGTAAGGGACAAGATACACGGTATCTGGAGAAGTTTTTCCTTATAACAAAGAGGCTTAAGGGTTCCATCTTTGGCATCAAACAGACTGATTCCAGTGACTTTACTGTTACTTTCTAGCCGTGGACAGTTCACTTAATCTCAATTCTTCACACTGGAAGAGAGGGGATAATGTATTTCATACCATTGTGAGAATGATTAAATGAGATACATGTGCAAAGTCCTGGTTTGGCGCTGTTGGATAGGCACTGGACTGCTAACCTCAAGGTTGGCTGTTCAAACCTACCAGCCGTTCCTCAGAAACCCTATACAGATTCGCTGTGAGTTGAAACCAACTTGATGGCACATATGCAAAGTGCCAGTCAAATAGTAAGACTCAATGCTGTGACATCATTATGTTAAAAAAACATATCCAATTGTCACTTGAATTTAAAGTATTTGAGATTTGGAATAAAAAAGGTTACCATATATAAAAAACAGTAAAATTCTGTGTTAATTTTTACATAGTTCATCTCAATTTCCTCTTTTAGAATTTAATTTGGCAAATACAGGAGAAATCTTAATCATTTATTTGCTAGAAAAAAGACAGTGTCTTTAAGTAACTTGGAATGGCTATGAAAACAGGCTGATATCAATTAGATATTTCACAAAGGAACTTTGCATTTCAAGCCAGAGTCGGGTTAAGGCTTGTTGAACCAATATGACTTTTAATCACAAGCATATGTACAATAGCTGAAATTCCTAGACTTTAGTGGTTTTCTTAATGTCTAATCATTAAGGAGTACTTGTGGTAATGCTATAGGATAATGCACTGGACTGCAAGGTCATTTTGAACCACAAGGTTGGGCAGTTCAAACCTACCAGCCATTCCTTGGAAACCCTATACAGGGTCGCTATGACTTGGAATCGACTCGATGGTACTTAACAACAACAACCATTTGTTGTTGTCACGTGCCATCGAGTCGATTCCGATCCATAGCAACCCTGTATAGGGTTTCCAAGGAGCAGCTGGTGAGCTTGAACCACCGATCATGCAGTTCAAACGACTTTGCAGTCTGATGTAATATTAGCCCACAGCACCACACCACCACTCCACAACAACCACTTAGTAGGGAATTAATGGATAAGCACTGGATTGTGAACCACAAGTTTGGTGGTTCGAGACCACCTGCTGCTCTGTGGCAAAAAGATGCCGCTTTCTGCTCCTGCAAAGATGAACAGCCTCAGAAACCCTCCCTATATAGGACTGTTGTGAGTCAGAACCAGCTTAATGGTACTTAACAACAAAAACAATCATTAATATGTCAATATTTGCATTATAATGAGCATTTTATCCAGGATCTCAAGCAAATAGACTTGGAAACTGAGCTGATCAACTATGACAGAAAACTAAGTGTTGTGGTTACATTTTATATACAATGTTCTTTTCTAAAGGCAAATGGCCAGCTAAACTCCATCTAGCCAAGGGCAGTAGACAATGCCAGATCTGTATATGTAAATCCAGTACATGCCTTTTAACATCTGAGAAGCAGAATGATACCTAAAGCCATTCTTGGGAGATTTCTGAGCATCTGAAATGGTCTAAAGACTCCTGGCAGAGGATTCAGTAAATCTGTTGAATAAATATGGGAAAGCTACTTTCTTGGAAAGTAACTTGGTACTAGTTAAATATATACTCAACTTTTGTGTGAGTTTCAAAACAAAAAATTGAGAAGTATCATTCACCAATTATGATAGAAGTTAAGTTTATAATATTTAGCAGTGGTTTTATGACATCACTGTTTATAAGAGAAATATTCAGAACCATACAGATACCATGAAGAGCTAAATGAGAAAGCAAATTCACATACTCAAGAGGACAAAATCCTAACATATTAGTTGTTAATGCTGTCCAGTTAGTTCTGACTCATAGCTACCCTGTATAAGGTTTCTAAGGCTTTTCTGTTTTTTTTTAAAAAAATCTTTGTAGGCGCAGAAAGCTTCATTTTTCTCTTGTAACACATCGTCAGACTTGGTCAACTGAGAGAAATATTTGTAATAGAAAAATGCTAAATGGAAAAAAAAAAAAAGCAGCATGTGTATAATCCCTAATTACAATAATAAAATTACATGTGATGTACATTTACAAAAACTAAAAATATATTTTGCCAAATAGGAGTGTTACTTTTCTTTCTGGGTAAAAGTACCCACATTCACAATAGAAAAAAAGAAAGAATACATGGTGAATTTTGAGTTGCCAGGCAAACTTATCCTATACCAGCAGGCAAGATGGCTAGGGAAAATTCCCGTCTTAGTGAAAATGAGTCCTGGTGTGGCGCTGTGGGATAAAACACTGGATGGCAAAGTTGGTGGTTCAAACTCACCAGCTGCTCCTTGGAAACCCTACACAGGGTGTGATTATAAGCCAGAACTGACTCTAAGGCACCTAACAACAACAACAACAAGGAAAATGAGCATCAACAAAGGGGCACTATCTCCTGATTGTTATCATGCTGACATGCAGGGTTATTTTGGCAACTAATTCCCACTTACTAGCATTCAGTTTAACCTATCACTTGAAATCTAATGACAGATCTGGGGTTTTTCTTAATCCCAGTAATTATTCAGATCAATATACTCAACACAAACATTTAACCACCAGTGTCAGATTTTACTTTTACATGACAACCTCTCAATCCTTTCACCAACCACAAGAGTGCATACAAATTAAAAATAAGTCTGCTGCTTTTCATTTTAATGTGGTTTGATATCCTGGATAGAACAGAATACCTGAATCCCATTAGGAAAGAGACTCTCCAACTTTCTTTCACAAGTACTTTGTGTTTGAAAACATAAAAATTTACTAAATCATTTAGTACATAAAATTAACAACATCCTCATCATCTTGTGATTTGAATGACTGACCAATAATTCAAGCTAGTTGTGTTTTACATTTCTTTTATTAAAATAATTAGTATTCTTAGATTGTTTTTAATTACTCTACTCTAGCCCTAAAGGAAAATTCTTTCAAAAGGTTGAAATACGCTGATTCAGGATACAATGTCTCACACATCCAACCTCTACAAAGTTGGGTTATAGAGCAACATAGAGAAATTCTGACACCAATTCTTAGGCAATGTTATTTTAAAACAAAGTTACCATTACATACACAGCCTAGGATTTTTATTTTGCATTGCATTTACATATATTTAGGTAATACTTCTTTAATATAAAAACTGTGGTCATAATTCAAACAATCATTTAAAATATGGTAATTAAGTGACTCCCAGTTGACTCAAAAACTCAGAGTTAGAGTTCAGATAGTGTTTGAGTACATTTTACAAAGAATCGAGATCTAAATCGCAACAACTTTATACATCTTTTGATAGAAGCATTACATTTTTTTGGTAACTTCTTTGTCATAACAACATAATAAAAGAGGGTTAAGAAATAATAATAGCTGATAAAATTATTTGCCTTGTCCCCCAACCATCTAAGCCTAGAATTAAATGATCTCAGTTCTAATCCTGGCTATAAAACTCACCATCTGGGTAATCTTGAGTGAAATATTTAATTTCTTTGTGATTCTAATTTCCTATCTATAAAAGTGAGAATTACTTAATGTATATAATTTCTATATTAAGACATTGCCACAACTAAGTGAGAACTTGTGAAAATGCTAACACAGTACCAATCACTGGGTCTAAAGCACATTTCTTACTCTCCAGCAATGGGCTTCTCCAAATACATACATTTAAAAAAACAGCCTTTAATCAGCATTAGAGTCACTCTCCCCACCCCAACTTGAAACCATAGGGCTAATTATACACCACACAAATCTTACCAACAGAACTGTACTATTTTAATCTAAAAGAAACTTGAAGAAATGATCCTAATTGTCTGAGTCATATTTAAAGAAGCCAACAAAAAGGGAAACTTGAGATGGATATACATGGACTTCCTCGGGAGAAGTGTATCTTGAAAAGGGACTAAAACACAGATCCCAGATGACCAAGGTCTCCAAGATCCAAAATGAAAGAACTCCAATCATGCAAAGGACTCGTTGACAGGGAATTACAACAGAGATGTTAAAACTCGGGGTCTTTACCCCTACTCCCCCAACAAAACAAAACAACAAAGTAAGACAAAACAACAAACAAGAGCAGAAAACTATCTGCATATAAGGCGCTGGTTTACCCCCCCTTGGAGCCCTTCAGAGTAGTTTCATGGAAAGGGGACAAGAAGTTGAGGCATATTTAATGAATGGAAGGGACGTTTGGAAGGATTTGGGAAAGTGTGCACGAGCAGGACCCTACCTTTGACAGATTTCCCAATACTGTGTAAGTAAGTGATAGAACTGTAGTTGTTGGCAACATTCTTCAAAAACGCTTCCATCGCTTCCTGGTGGTGGTAGTTGAAATCCAGAGCAGCTACCAAAGGCAGCAGCAGCCCTAACCAGAGGCGAGCGAAGTCCATGTTCTAGAGATGAATAAAAATAATTATCAAGCTGAGAGCAGACAGCATTACAGTCCGGCTCAGGACTCGGGGTTTCCTGCTACGAATGCTCCCTGCTTCCTAAAACTGTAAAAGTTGGAAGACACCTTGGGGAGTCAGGAACGCAACCCGTGACCGAGAGTACCGCAGCTTCCAGAGCCCTGCGTCCCGCCCGTCCCTCCCTCTCCTCCGTCCGCCGTCTCCCCGCCCGCCGCCGCCCAGCAGTTGCAGCAGCTGCGCCCGGCCCCGCGCGCCCTCAACCTCACCCCGGCCCCGGCGAGCATCTCAGCCGCCAGTAGCCACCGCCCCCCTAAGGTCCCGACATTATAGCCGGGCCGGGGGTTGGGTGTGGGGGGGCGGGGGCTCTGGGGCCCCGCCCCAGGCATTTGACGGACGTGGAGCCGGCCCACTCAGGCGCCGCGAGTTTCCTCGGGGCGGGACCGAACCTGTGGCTCCAGTGCCTCCTCGGCCTTTGCACCTACTTGGGCAAGCAGTTCCCCCGTCCTGTGCTTGGTTTGGAGCGTGGCGACAAGGGGGGATGAGTAGCGAGAAGTTGCTGGAGACCCGAGTTGCAGCTGTCATCCTCTCCTGGTATCCCAGATTGGACACGTGCTCTCTCCTAGGCTGCTAAGAGAGGTGCAAGGTGTCAGCTCAGGGATCGCTGGCGTTGGGTGTTTCTCCGACCGCAGCGAGTTTCCTGCGTTGGGAGGTGCTGGTGAGCACGCTCCAACTCACTCGGAGCCCCGGGCGCGACGACAGTCCGGGCACCCCAAACTCCGGCGCCAGCCCCAATGGCACAGCCGCGTCAGACTCCCCAGCCCTAATCTCATGGAATTTAAAGAAAAGTTTGTATGCCTGCTTAGAATTTTTAAGTGCTTTGTCGTTGTTAGGTGCCCATTGCTGCTGCCACTGTGCCAATCCATCTCGTTGGAGATCTTCCACGCTGACCCTCCACTTTACCAAGCATGATATCCTTCTCCAGGGACTGGTCCCTCACATGTCCGAAGTATGAGAGATAAATTTTGCCATCCTCGCTTCTAAAGAGCATCAGACTAAAGAGTATTCTTTTTATTATTATTATACTTTTATTATAACGAGTATTTCTTCTAGCACAGATTTGTTCGTTTGGTTTTTTTTGGCAGACCGTGCTGTAGTCACTGTTCTTTGCCAGCACCATGATTTAAAGGCATCAATTGTTCGGCTTTTCTTATTCATTGTCCAGCTTTCACATTCATATAAGGCAATTGAAGGTACCTTGGCTTTGCTTTTTAACATGTTAAAGGGGTCTTTGGCGACAGATTTACTCTATACAATACATCGTTTGATTTCTTGACTGCTGTTTTATCGGCGTTGATTATGGATCTAAGTAAAATGAAATCCTTGACAACTTCAGTGGTATGGACAGTGTTGTTTACTGTCCATTTGTGGAGATTTTTGTTTTCTTAACATTGAGGTACAATCCATACTGAACATTGTTGTCTTTGATCTGTATCAAGAAGTGCTTTAAGTCCGCTTCACTTACAAGCAAGGCTGCCTCATCTGCGTATCTATATCCTAAGATTGTTAATAAGTCTTCCTCCAAACCAAATACCATGTTCTTCTTCACACAATCCAGTTTCTCAGACTATTCATTCAGCATTCAGATTGAATAAGTATGGTGAGTAAATACACCTCTGATTTATACCTTTTTGTGTTCTAAACCACGCAGTATCTCCTTGTTCTTTTCAAGACTGCTTCTTATTCTGTGCACAGGTTCCACACAGGTTCCACATAAGTGTTCAGGAATTTCCAATCTTCACAAAGGTATTTATATTTTGCTAACCCTGTACAGGGTCGCTATGGGTCGGAACCGACTTGACGGCACTTAACAACAACAACAACAAAGGTCCCCATAGTTGAGTGCCATCACATAGCCAATAAAGCACAAGGAAACATCTTTCTGGTATTCTCTGTCTTCAGCAAAGATTTATCTGACATCAGTAATGATATCAGATATGGTTCTATGTCCTATTCTGAATCCAGCCTGAATTTCTGACAGTTCCCTGTCAATCATTTTTTAATTATCTTCAGCATAATTTTACTTGTGTGTCATATTAATGACATTGTTTAATAATTTCTGCATCCTGTTGAACCAACTTTCTTTGAAATGGGCATGAATATGGATCTCTTTTAGTTGGTTGGCCAGATAGCTGTTTTCCAAATTTCTTGGCATATCACGAGTGAGCACTTCCAGTCTTACATCCATTTGTTGAATTTTACAGTTGATATGCTGTCAGTTCCTGGAACCTTATTTTTCACCCATGCCTTCAGTGTAGCTTAGATTTCTTCCTTCAGTACCATCTATTCTTTTTTTAAAAGTTATTATTGTGAATTGAGTGATAGTTTACATGGGAGAACATCGGTTTTACACTTATCATTTCACTGCAATGATTATAATCTCCTCTGTGCATCATCATTCAACAGTATTTGCTTCTATTCCCTCTGTGTGTTTTTTTTTTTTTTTTCTGGGGTTGGGGAGGACAGACACAAAAACACTCAGGAATATACAATCATTTAAACAACTAAAGGACACATTCTGCAAACCTACCTCTTGGCCACCAGAACACAGCTTTTCTGTTTCCATGAGTCTAAGGGTCCTCAGCTGCTCTATCTCTCCATATCCTCATCTCTGTCTCCATCTCTGGTGTTGCTGCTTTTCTGGATGTTGTTGTTAAGTGCCGATGAGTTGGTTCTGACCCATAGCAACCCTGAACAGGGTTTCCAAAGCTATAAATCTTTATGGGAGCAGAAAACCTCATCTTTCTCCCGCAGAGCAGCTGGTAGTTTTGAATTGCTGATCTTGTGGTTTGCAGCCTGATTCGTAACCACTACGCTACTGGAGCTCCTTGCTTTTCTGGATAGGATCCCACAGTCTGCTCATGCTCTTCTCTCTTGGTAGTCCTAGGGTCCTTTGTTCCTGGGCTGTAAGATTAACTACTTCCCCCCGCCCCCCACATACTTTTGTTACAAAACATCTACCTTTACAATTGTGACAGTTGCAATTAGTCATGATAAGAATTACTCACTACTGAATCTTAAGAATCTTGTCCCCATCTTCCTTCACCAGACTCGTCTAGACAAGATGAAAACTATTCAATGGGGATTTTACCTTCCTCCGCACACCCTTAAACTAAACTCCCTCTTGAAAACTTGTAAGCCAGTCACTTTGTGCCTTTATAGACCCCCCATTTTAGGTAGCCAACTGTCAACCCTGTATACAGAGAGGATAGGATTAATACTTGGTGTGAAGACTCCTTCCCTCTAGGTTGGTATTTTGAGCTACTACATCCATAAGTATAGGTCAAGTTCATCAAATTGTATCAATGTACACTTGTTTCCTTTATAATTTTTTTTTTTTTTCTTCCTCTAGTCGAGTTCTGATCATCAAACCATCGAAGCTAAGTCAAATGGGTACTGTCTTCAAGTTTGGGCGTTCTTGTGCATCTCCCCTCGTTTCATATCATCTGAACGCTTCACTTTCTTTCAGCTCTAGCCCTCCATGGCTATATCCTTGTCCATGAGGTCAGGAGTACCCAAGTTCTTATTGATATACTACTTTCTGAAATGGTTGAAACATTGACCAGTTCTTTTTGGTACAATGTGTGTATTCCTTAGATCTTCTTTGATATTTCCTGTGTAATTCAGTATTTTGCCCATGTTGTTGTTAAGGGTTTTCGAGTCAGTTCCAGCTCATAGCAACCCTGTATAGAGTTTCCAAGGAGCGGTTAGTGAGTAGGAATCACTGACCTTGCTGCTCAAATGACCTTGTGATCTAATAGTTATCCTATAGCACCACACCAGGACTCATAGAATCCTTTAAAATTGCAAATTGACATTTGAATTATTTTCTTTAGTTCTTTCAGTTTGTGAAACGCTGAGCATGTTCTTCCCTTTTTGGTTTTCTAGTTCCAAGTCTTTGTACATTCAATCAGTCTGCCTATGAAATTTTGTCAGCACTTCTTTTACTTCATCATCCTTTTCTTTTCCCATTTGCTGTAGATATTCTGGGTTCAAGAACAAAATTTCAGCGTGTCTTCTGACGTCAATTTTGTTCTTTTCTTTTTTTCCTTTTGTTTTCTTTGTGCATGGTGTCCTTGTCATCCCACAACTCATCTGGTCTTCAATTAGCGTTCAATACATCAAATCTATTACTGAAGCGCTCTGGTAGTATAGTGGTTATGAATCGGGCTGCGAACTGCAAGGTCAGCAGTTCGAAACTACGAGCTGTTCTGCGGGAGAAAGATGAGGCTTTCTGCTCCCGTAAAGATTTACAGCCTCGGAAACCCTGTACAGGGTCGCTATGAGTCAGCACCAACTCCACGGCACATAACAACAACAACGTACTCAAGGTTATACTTTGTCTCTTGTGGATTTGTTTTAATTTTCTTCAGCTTCACCTTAAACTTGCATATGAACAATTGATGGTCTAGTCTACAGTTAGCCACCGGTCTAGTTCTGACTGATGGTATTGAGCTTTTATATCACCTTTTTCCATAGATGTAATAGAGTTGATTCCTGTGTAGTCCATTCGTTGAGTTCTACACGTATAAAAAACAAACTAGCAAAAAACCGCACTGTCATTGAGCAATCCTGTAGGACAGAGAAGAATTGCCTCATTGAGTTTCTAAGACTAAAAATCTCTACAGAAGTAGACTACCGTATCTTTCTTTCAGAGCAGGTGGTGGGTTTGAATTGCTGAACTTTTGATTAGTAGCTGAGTGCTTAATCATTGTGCTATCAGAGCTGTTTATATTGTTGAAAAAAGATATTTGCAATCAGTAAGTTGTTGATCTTGCAAAATTCTACCATGAGCTCTCCAGAGTTGTTTCTATCAGCAAAGTTGTTTTACACTTACTGATCCTTTGCCTTTGTTTCCAAAGTTTGCATTCCAATCACCAATAATTATCAATGCATCTTGATTGCATGTTTGATCAATTTCAGTTTGA